AAAAAAAAAAAAAAAAAAAACAGAAGAAGAAGAAGAAGAATTTGGATGGAATCAAAAGCCCGAGGTGGAAAACTGGATACTTACCTAGCATCAATCTTCGGCTGACATAGCTCTCAAACACCCTCACATCAACACCTTCCTAGCTCTGGCCATTTTTGGCTTTGGCATCAAGGTTCAGTAGCCGTCTCAAGACAACATGATTTTTTGCTAGGTTTGAATTAGACTCCGCAATGAAGGGCTCCCAGTAGTACCTAGTTGATGCATTATACTCCTAAAACACATTTCAAAAGCTCAGAATGTTGGGGTCAAGTGTCTAACATGGATACTTCAACTGTTTAATATGTTACTCCTTAAATTTGAGCATTCAAAATATGAAATGTGTTAGCGTGAATCAGGCTGTCACCTCCAGATTTCATATAGACCATATAAGATAGTGAATCGGGCCTCCCATTGTAGATGAAGTACAATTTGATTTAATATAATGTCCAACCAAAAGAGAGAACAAGATCCATTGAAGAGGGATGGCTAGCAAGAAGAAGTAGAAACTTCATTCTGCCCAAATTAACACTCTTAAAGAATGATGAGATATTGCCGTGCTTGCAATCCTTTATTTTCCCTGCTTTCTTTGGGTTTCCTGCTTTGCTTCGCAGAAATGGAGTAGCGCTTCCTACTGCAGGCGACTTCTTAGCTACAGGAGGCCTGCATTGAAAGATGAAATTGTAAGGAATACAGTTGTCAGGCTCTAGATTGCTTACAATCTAAAATAAGCATAACGAAATCAAATAAAATTGCGAAGCCTTCAGTCAAGTACATTGGCCAGAAAAGGCAAAAAAGATTGTTAAAAGCACTCCATAGTTGTAAAGCCCAAATGAATGTAGTTCATTCAGCTAAGAAAAAATTAACATCTTTCTGCAGTTGGAGAGGATTCATACCATTTTCAGATAGCAGATTTTCATTCTTAGTTGGAGAGGACTTTTAACTGTTTCTGCTTTTGCTGACGACTTTGGATCAATACATGGCAGCTGTTTGGTGGGATAGGGTGATGCTTAATTGATGGTATCTTCATACTTGTCTACACCCAACAAATCCAAAACCACCATCCATTCTTGTTCACTTCACCTTTAGAATCTACACTAAAATTAAGATCATCAGCTGGTGCTCAATTGGACTTCAACTTTGCAGAAGCACAATCGCATAAGTTTGCTAATGAACCTACACCTCCAAAAGACCAAAATAGTTACTTAAGGAATGTCCAGTAAATTCTGATGGTAGCCATAAAAGAATTTCATAACACCACCATAGAATTTTCTTTATAGCAAATAACAATATATGAGAAGACAAGCACTTCAAGAGGCAAAAAACTTGAAAGGAAGTTGTGATCTCCAAAAGAAAAATGTTCTGCTAGAAGATAGCCAAAGGCAGAATCAACTACTAAATTTTCAAAAAATCTAAACTTAAATAACCAGAAAAGGCCTAACTGTTATCTCTTAAAGAATTTTCAATATTAGAAGTATGCTACTCTAGGAAAACTCTTGAAGCTAGGAAAAATTCAGCATTCCAGAGTGCAGCTCACAATACTTTGCAATGCATCCTTCAACACTGTACACCTAAACCGAGCTATTGCCATCAAATTTTTGCTTGGCTTCTGCAAGAAGTTTAGAGAAGAAATTATCACATTACTACTTTGCTATAGAATTCAAAAAATTCCATTTATGATAGCAAAAGAATTCATCAACAATCATGAGTTTGTGTCTCCATTCTTGTGGCTTGTGAATGTGAACTTTAACTACATTCTTGGGGAGGAAAGATGTTCACCTCTTTGCAACATTTCATGACACCAAAAGGTTGCGACTCAACCACTTGTAAGAAACCTAAAAATGATACTAATTGTATCAGAAATTTTATCTTGTACGAACCTTTTAGCTTAAGAACTTGAAAAGCATATATTATATTACTATTGTAGGTGAATAATATTAATTTTGAAGGGTCAAAGTACAAACAGAGATAGAAAATGAAGACAGCAAAATTGACACTTGAAGTTCATCAGAGACTAGAGCCTGGATCTCTTCCTGCCAATTGCCTACCGATTGGCTGAAATCTGTGTTTCAAAAGGGCTCAATTTCAGCCATACATACCCAAAAATCAATTTATCTCTAATGAGAAAAAGTATAAAGCCTCAATGAAAATTAAATAAAATTCTTAGTCAAAACACTTACTCCTTAGGATTTATGAGAGCTGAGTTCTTTTCTGTTATGGATTCCTAGACAGGAACTCCCTTTTCTGTTCACTTCAATCAACAGAAATTGTTTCCAATTCAGTAGTCAAATGATAGAAAAGTAAATGAAATAGAAAAAAAAAAAAAACACCTGCAAGAGTGGAAAAAGGCAATGGAGTATTGTCGAAGTGTTCTCCAGTGGTCAAGTCAGCAAAGCAAATGTGAAAGGTACATACTACAAAAATTTAAGATTTCAAATTGATAACAGATTTAGTATATGAAGCAATGAAGCACCAAAGAAACAAGAGTAGGAATCCCATAACATAACATGCTTAACAGCTTACAACACAAACAAATTACCAAAAGATACAAAACCAAGATCATCCAATACAATTAAAAAAAGACATAAATTGGTAAAAAACAATCAAACATTATTGTCCATGAAATCAAGACTACTGGCAGTGAGTGAGTCCAATCCTGTTTTCTTTTGCTTTGTTGTTCTGACGAGAGAAGTTGCCTTTGCTTGAGAAAAGATCCTACAAACAAATAGCAGAGTTTAGAATATGTTGAGAAATCTGGAGCCAACAAGAGATCTAGGAAGTGATCTTATAGTAATTGATTCCATACTACCAACCTGGTTTGCAAGATCTTGAGAAATCTCAATATACCATAAGAAAAAAATTCAAATGAATAAAAGAAATATTAACGTTCCAACCACAAACATTAGCCAATCTCATCACCCACGATTTTGTTACTACCCAAACCCAAAATCCAATTAATATCTATATAAATGGAATGAAAGTATAAAACCCGAAAAAAAAAATGATCAAAGTCAAAATATGGATACTTACATAGTTGGAATTTATGAGATAGGACAGTAGAGCAGAGGGTGAAGGGTGGATGCATCTCAATCTCATCTCCTCCACAATACATAGGCTTCCCACATCAGACGCATTTTTGGCTTTGTTCCCATTGTGGAGTACTGAAAAAAGGGGTTTTATTAGCACGTGTTATTGGGCTCGCACCTGACTTATTTATGCAAATCTAGAAAATTGAAGATTTGTCAACAACTCCGCTTTCAGATGAGATGACAGAAATTTTAAGCAACTAAACAAATCAAATTCAAATTAGAATAACATCAATCAACCCCTTACCTCCGTTCACGATATGGAATAAATTTCAAGAAAGGTTGGAGTATGTTCTTAGCGTTAGGATGATCCAACTCAACCACTGATTCCCACCATTCTCTTAAATAATAATCTATCTCGATTTTTTTGAGACAAGGAGGAGGAGACTGCTGGCCATTGTCAAGCAGAGGAAGCCGTAGAGGGATCCTCTTTAACTTCGGACATTCAATTATTTGAACATCTTTAATAGAATCACACCCCATAACTCTTTTGGCACTGCAGATGTTCTTCAATTGGTCTAAGCATGACAAAATCAATTCCCTTAACTTGGGAAAAGTGAATTTATCAGGTGATGCATCTGAATTTGACGATGCTATTATCTCCCCCATTTGTTTGCATTCGCGAACTTCAATCTTCTCTAAGTTTTGGAGGGCATGTAGTAGCTCAAGTGGAAACAACTTCCTCATTCCTGAACAATTGTGGATTACAAGAATTTTAAGATTGGAAAAGATGTGCGGTGGTGTTCCTACTCCTTCCACTCCCACAATTACACTCAAGTTAGGCAACTATTGGACAACACAATGAAGAGGAGGACGAGTCCAACTCAACCATGCACTCTATCCCCTTAAAATTTAACAAAACTGTTTTGTTGAAGCTGCATCTCATGTTTTTCATGTTTTTAGAGCAATAGATCCACAAATTCTCAAGCTTATCTGGAAGCACTATACATTCTTCTCCAATCTCACACCCAAAAATTAAAACGGTACGTTGATATTCATCACTAAAAACTAAAGGTGTGATGTCTTGTTTACCTGATGTCAGTCGAAGATTGTAAGTCGTAAGACTTTCAAAATCTTTAGACTTATTGGCTAGATAGTTAAAGTCTTGTATAACCTCTATGCCACATTCCAAACTCTGCAACTTGCTCAATCTAGCAACCTCTTCTAAATTTATCCTTTTAGTAATTGCACTGTTTGGATATACAACCGAGTACTGGAGACTAGGAAGGCTAGGTAATATTCCCATTGGAATCTCTTTCAGTTTTGAACAAAATAAATCAAGATATTCAAGATTTACCAACATCTCCATGCCTTGAGGGACCACCTCAATCCCTGCCTCATGCAAATCCAACTTCTTCAATGCCCTGAGCTTTGCTAAGGAAGGCAAGTACTTTAAGCTCTGGCACTTCCTCAACCGCAGTGCAAAGAGATTCACCAAGTTAGAGATGGAACCAGGTAAAGCTTTAATCCTAGTACCAGAAAGATCAAGAACCTTAACTCCAACCATAGCTTCCAAAAAGAAACTTGGAATCTCTGAAAAATTAGAATTATCTGATAATATC